TTGTCCTTACCCTGATTATACCCTCGATAGAGACGCGAATGCTTCATACTGCCTCATGTACTTCCATGCGAAAAGCTGCAATTCTGCTCTCGCGCTCCTCCTTATCCATGTCCTCGATGGCCAGCTGCAGATCTGCATACGGCAAGCATCCTTGTTCTTTGGCAGCCCCCAAAGCTTGACATGCCTTTGCATCGGCTTCTACCGTCTTGTCAACTTCCCTTGCTGCCTCAGCGAGGACATCTGCAGCCTTTTCATCTTCAGCGTACACAAAATAAGATGCAAACGCGTACACCGAATCTCCTGCCGTGAAAATTAGCCGACCTCCTTTCAACAGTAGCATTGGTTCAAGCAGTGCATTTGCGGCTCCTCCCAATGGGCTAGAGCCCATGAATATCAGGTCTTGCGTTGCACTCGGATTCTAGGCGATCAGCTTCTCTGCAAGATCTATCCTTCTTCATCAGTGACACGCTCGAGCGGTTTGATGTTTGTTGCTGCCGTCAAGCCTTTAAATTTCTTTCCCTTCGCAGTAACGGAGCAGCTCACGATTGACCTGCCGCCTTGGCTCAAAATTTTCTTCATATCGTATAGTGGTCGAGCTTTGGAGCGAGCATCTTTATGCCCAAGACTGGAAGCAGCTCCACGTCGGACTGCATGGGTTGGCCCTGTGCTACACGTTCCATCATATGGAATATTTCGTATGCCATATCATCGATCAGATCAGCCTTTTTGTAAGGCACTTTGAGTCCACGTGCCTCATTCAAAAGCTTTTCCATGAACCCTGTCCCTGCGCCGGGGTTCGTGGCGACGGTAATCCCCTCCATTCCCTCAGACGGCACTTTGATTCTTTCGCCCGTCATATATACCGCAGTGCGGTATGCTGCAGCATCCGACTCGTAAGTCCTGTCTTGATAACTGCATCGCTGTATCTGCTTTCGGGCTTCCGCCAAACTTTTCCAGTGGCGCTTGGCCTCATCTGCATCAGAACTGAACCCGGGTCCTCCTCCCAGTCAAAATTGGCACTGGCATAGGCCTTTCCAAGCAGCAGGGCCAACAATGGCCTGTCGTGCGCTGCGACGTGTCCAGCATGAAAGCTTGCTGCCAGTCTCGGGTAATGCCCGCTTCATCGACCGCAGCTGACATAGCCTCAGACCCCAGCCGTCAGCTCTGTACGCAATTTTCCATTTATCAAGGAAGTCTCGCAAAATGGCTTCATTTTTAATGTTGTCAATTTCGAAAAATAAGGAAGTATCGCAGACCTGTTTCGTTTTTGACGTTGTCAAGCTGAAATATTGAGGAAGTCTCGCAAAATTGCTCCGTTTTTGATGTTGTTAAGTTCAAAAATTGAGGAAGTTTCGAAGAATAGCTTCGTTTTCAATTTTGCAAATAGACAAATAGATAGATACACAATTACAACGGCAACTACAAGACCACTACATTATACTACTATTACAACTACAAGTACAAATATACTACGCTACATTACACAACACTAATTACACTACACTACACTAATTACATCTAATTACACTACACTACACTACACTAATTACACTACAACTACTACAACAGCCACTACTACTACGACGACGACCACCACCACCACCACCACAGCTACAACTACAATGACAGCTACACCACATTTCACTACAATACACCAATTAAACTGCAGTACATTGCAGCTACAAATAGAACTACACTACATTACACAACACTACTCTACACTAATTGCGTTACATTACACTACAACTGCAACCACCACTATATTGCACTACACGACACTACATTACAACTACAACTACACTAGTTTACACTCCAATACACTAGACCACACTACACTATACCACGCTACAGTACGCAACACTACAGTACACTACAATACGCTACACTAATTACACCACAACTACAACTGCAACTGCAACTACACTACACTAATTACACTACACTACAACTACAGCTTACAACTACAACTCCACTACGCTACAACTACAACTACACCTCCAACTACAATGTTACAACTACAACTACAACTGCAACACTCCATCCAGGAGTTGTGAGTGAGGTGACCACTGCGACCATTGCAACCACTCCAAAAAGCACAACTCCAACCACCTTTCGGTCCATCAGTGGATTCGCTCTGCCATCCGTGAGTTACAACAACCAACCCTTCCTATAGGTTTCCTATTTCTGAAACTTCCGCCACCGCCTTGTGCGGTACTACTGGTATACTATATATATATATACATTATATATATATACATATTGTATTATATATATATATTATTTTGCATATTCTATTTCATATATATTATATATTAAATATCTTATATAATATATTATATAGTATATATTATATATGTCATATTATAATATATTATATATCATAGACTTACATCCTGGTACTAGTTTTCCATGCTGGTCGGCGGCAGGAGTGCAACCCTTAAATCCGGCGACGCCGTACGGTGATGTAGCAGCTAGCTTTAGCTACCTGGGCGACCCCTCCCAAAAATCCTTCAGGTTGGTGGGGAGTTGGGGTTTTGGAGGGAACAAAAAAAAGGATGCTTCCGGAGGTTAGTTTTGGAATGTGTTTGGGCCATGTTTGGCCAATTTTTTGTTGCGCTCGGGAAGCAAAAACCTCGTAGATTACAGTGTTTTTGTACTTTTTGCCAAAAAAAAAAACTACTTCTTGCAACATGCTGAAAATCGCGTAAATACCAGTGCTTTTGCTAGGTGATGTCTCAAAAACATTGCAAATACCTGGATTTTGCTTCCAGTGGTACAAAACATCGTAAATACCGTGGTTATCCGTGGTTCTTGACTTCCGAGGCACCAAAAACATCGGTATTTACGGTGTGTTGTGCTCCGAGAGTTTCAAAAAAACATGAAGACACCACCTATTTGACAGGGCGCACGGAAATGTGACAAAGAGATGTGTGGTCGTTACAAGCTGCGGTATGTCAGAAGAATATTTCACCATGCTCTGTGCGCCTGCGGGCGCGCGCGTGCGCAGAGCACATCAGCAACACCAACACTCACACTACCAACATAACCCTCATGGCCTTATGGCGTCGCCGGTGTGGGAAGCTCTGCAATTATATAGTTGATTATTTTTCCGCAAGGTACAACAATAGCTGTCTTGCCAAGTTTGATTTTCAAACCTCGCATGTGCTGCAATCTTTGCAGAGTCTTTGTACAACATACGACACGCTCTGTGATCTATTCTCCAGCAAAAGCCAGGCTTTACAGGGAAAGAACGAAAACATGCCCTGAAATCTAAGTTCTCTGACTCAACACGATTCAACGAGTTTTGCTTTCAAAGCCAAAAAAATGCCTGCACTTCTCAGCCACTCTTCCACCCACTGCCTCAAGACAAAATTGAAAGTTGTATAATGTCGTATATATAAATATGCCATGCAGCACCTCATCAAGAGCTTTCAGTTCTTCTAGTCAATTGCCACAATACTCCCATGGTTCATTGCTTCTGGGTTCTGTGCCTTTAGGGTTCACCGCCGGGAAGTACCTCGGCGCAGGTCGGCCAACTCTTAAAGCTTTGCCATGAAGATCATGAAGATCATGAAGTACGAAAGGCACAACACGAAAGGTCTTCGTTGGGAGGGCACGACCGGACACTCTGCGGACGATCTCGCACAGGGTCCTGCTTCGCGACGAAGCAACTTGACTGTGAAGGAACCGCTTGTTAAAGCCTTGATTTGTTGCTTCATGTCTCACTTTTTGATTTGTGATTTCTTGCTGCACTTCTTGCCAAGGAAACGGAATTGGTACAAAATGTACAAGTCCTTGATTTGTTTGGCGGCCAATGCAAACATTAAAACGTTTGACGAGATGAGTGACGTTTCACTATGCGGTTTTCCATCTCGCACCTGAGCACTTGGAGGACGTCGCTTGTTGATTCTGGGGGTTGCCACTCTGTGCACAGCCACATCCTGTTTCAATCCCAGGAAAAAAGCTGTGTTCACTGTGCCCGCAAATAGATGACCAGACAAGCTCGGCTACTATTGCTTTTTATCTTGGTCTTCTTCACTTTATGCTGCTCTTTGAATGTGATTGAACATATTGAACTATGCTGTGAGCCTCTGCCACCAACTTGCGTGGAGCCATTCGATCCTCTAGAGACTCCTTGCTGAGAGCAGGCATGCGGAATCTGATACCCATCTATTCAAATCATCAGGATGGGGGAGATGCATCAAAACCAGTCCTAAAACGTCTTAAGCCTTAAGTAAGGAGTGACGCTAGGGTCTCAAATCTTCAGTAGTGGACAGATAATAATATATATATACCTACCTCGAGCAAACGTGCGGACAATTCATGCTCCTTTGTTATGCTACATATTATATACATAGGTTTTGTAGTAGTTCCGAACCGTGCATAAAACACGCCAATCCGGCTTCAAAAAGGAATAGGCTGCCGGGTTGCAAGAGGAACCCAACAGCCTTAGTGCGGATGTGATTCAAATCTCTACTACCAGTCGCATGTTTTACCGGTGTTACCGTAGATTCAGACGCACAATGCTCTACGCCTCACCGTTTTTCCGTTTTCTATCGATCTTCAGTCACCACAGCATGACAGTTGAAATTCTCTCAGCATTGAGTCCTTTCCAGCGAGCCAACCCGCTTCTGCCAGCGCCATCTGACGGAGTAGTGGTAGCGGTTGCACATCAGAAACCTGAGTGAATTCGAAAACTCAAAAAAATAAAAAAGAATAACAAAAAAAAACAAAAAGAGATCTTCTGGCTTGTGGCAAATCCCGTTTGGAGAGAACCTGAAATAAACTTTGACAGAGTGGATGCAATGTTCTAGACTGGTAACTTCAGCCCAAAATCTGCCTGTATTGCTAATATTTGCTAATAATGTCTACGTAACATGGGGCGCTAGATTCTGTACCCCATTTCGAAGACCGAGTGACGGCATCGGTGTCTTGTGGCAGATTGCTGGGTGGACTCGTGCATCCCTGGCGAAGTCGCACTTTGTGCTGGGGATTAAAATAACACCTGAAGGCCTGAAGAACTGAGAAAAAGTGACCAGATCAAAGCCAATTAAAATGTACCAAATGAATCCAAATGATCTGATAGTAGGCCAGTTTTCTCCTGGCTCCATTCTGGTCTTTCCAGTGTAATCCATTCCTGCTGGCGAAACATGCTCTAAAAGCCTTTAGCTTTGAGCAACGGCTTCGAATGTCCCAGGACTTCAGGTTTGATGCAAACATCCTCTTTGAGATGTTGGACTCAGATATCAAGTGCGATCTGCTGGACCTGCACACAGTCTTCTCAAAGTCATTCATACACTGCAAGGCACCTGCAACCAAATCAGCCTGGTCCGGCGAGAAGATCTGAATAGGATTCCTAAAAATGCGCCGATCATCAGGTTGTTTTCGCCACGTTGCATGATGCATGCCTCTTAGTTTCCTAGTTCTGAGACATTCTGAGGTTGTTGCCAGCTTGTTTGACTCCGGGGCAAGCCTCCCGCAACATCCCGCAGCAACATACTGTGCAAACTCTGCGCAAAGTCTGGGCGGAAGTGGCTTGAGAAACCGAATCTTAAGACTCAAACCTGAATTGAAGTCTCCAGCAGCCACAAGCGATCCATTGTTAAGCAGAAAGAGACCTACAGGTGTCAAGGCAAACAGGCCATACCAGGTCATACCAGGCCACTGGCGAAAATATGTCAGAATTAGAAGACGGATGGTCCTCCAATGTCTTTGAGCCTGCTAGAATCCCGTTCAGTGAAGTCAAGGTCCGATTTCAGCATGCCACTGTAGTCATCTCTCGCGAGAATGGTCGTCACATCGCTCAACACCTGGTTAGTGTCTCTGCGAAGTCATGCCAGCTAGTGAATTGCCCTTAAAGGATCCCAAGTAGACAGAATGTGAACATATACGTGAACCAAGCCATGCACATAGACGGGCCGCACACGTGTAATTGTGGTCCTTCGCAATAGATCTGCAGTGCAAAAAATGTGCAAATTCGTCTCACTTGCTGTCCTGTCTCCAAGCTGGCCATAGTGGTTGCGACCTGCAATAAGCCCCCCGCCTTCTGGAGACATGTACAGTCCTAGTAGAGCAAAACAATAAAATGAGATGGCTTGAACGCTGTGAAGAGTGCCTGTTGTCCATGCCGTTCCATCATTGAGAAGAAAGACGCTGTGGTGACCTGGAAAAGAAGATGATAGCATGACACTATTTGGAACGCGATAAGCGTTCATTTTCATTCATTTTCCACGTTTGCGCCCACTGTTCTCTTCATTTGAGCAGACAAGGCGAGTGCCACCAGCAGCAATGGCAGAAACATTCCCCATCACCTGCGGTGCAAGCTTTCACCGGCTGCGGATGCATTGCATCTAATCATAAATTTGGATGCACTGAGAAGACGACCATCACCGGTCTCGTCTTTGACACCTTGGATTCACAGCGGACCGAGAAACGAGATCCAATGCCAGAAGTCGCCAAATCTTGAATCCTGAGACATGTACATAGGAGCCATCTCCAAGTTGTCCGAAATCGTTGAGCCCGGTTGCCTGCTATGGAGAGCTTTCCCGAAATTGATCTCCGGTCCGCTTTCAGAAAGCTCAAGAGGCCTGAGCAAAACCGTCGGTGCCCAGCAAAAGGCTGTGGAAGCCCCCGCCACTTACGGCCATCATCGGTTTTGTGATTTGCCTGGGCTGAATGTCAGCTTGAGATGAAATGATATAATATAAATGAAATGAAATGAAGTAAAATGAGGTGAAATGAAGTAAAATGATGTGAAATGAGGTGAAATGAAGTGAAATGAGGTGAAATGAAGTAAAATGAAGTGAAATGAAGTGAAATGAAGTGAAATGAAGTGAAATGAAGTGAAATGAAGTGAAATGAAGTGAAATGAAGTGAAATGAAGTGAAATGAAGTGAAAATGAGGGTGCCTGCCGTGCCCTGCAAGTGCCAATGAGGTGCCCTGCCTGTGCCTGCGGTGCCCTGAAGTGCCCCTGTGTGCCCGCCTGGCCCCCCCTGCCCTGCCCTGAACTGAAATGCCCTCTGAAATGAACTGAAATGAACCTGAACTGAATGAAATGAAGTGAAATGACGTGCCACCAGTGCACTGAAGTGAAATGAACTGAAATGAAGTGAAGGAAATGAAAATGTGACCTGAAGTGAAATGCTGTGAAATGTGAAATGAAGTGAAATGAGGTCCTTGCCCTGAAATGACTGTGAAAGGAGTGAAATGAACTGAAATGAACTGAAATGAACTGAAATGAACTGAAATGAACTGAAATGAACTGAAATGAAGTGAAATGAAGTGAAATGAAGTGAAATGAAGTGAAATGAAGTGAAATGAACTGAAATGAAGCGAAATGAAGTGAAATGAAGTGAAATGAAGTGAAATGAAGTGAAATGAAGTGAAATGAAGTAAAATGAGGTGAAATGAAGTGAAATGAAGTGAAATTAGGTGAAATGAAGTAAAATGAAGTGAAATGAAGTGAAATGAAGTAAAATGAAGTGAAATGAAGTGAAATAAAATGAAAATGAAGTGAAATGAAGTGAAATGAAGTAAAATGAAGTGAAATGAAGTGAAATGATGTGAAATGAAGTGAAATGATGTGAAATGAAGTGAAATGAAGTGAAATGAGGTGCAATGAAGTGAAAGGAAGTGAAATGAAGTAAAATGAAGTGAAATGAAGTGAAATGAAGTGAAATGAAGTAAAATGAAGTGAAATGAAGTGAAATGAAGTGAAATGAGGTGAAATGAAGTGAAATGAAGTAAAATGAAGTGAAATGAGGTGCAATGAAGTGAAATGAAGTGAAATGAGGTGCAATGAAGTGAAAGGAAGTGAAATGAAGTGAAATGAAGTGAAATGAAGTGAAATGAAGTGAAATGAGGTGAAATGAAGTGAAATGAGGTGAAATGAAGTGAAATGAGGTGAAATGAAGTGAAATGAAGTGAAATGAAGTGAAATGAAGTGAAATGAAGTGAAATGAAGTGAAATGAAGTGAAATGAGGTGAAATGAGGTGAAATGAAGTGAAATGAGGTGAAATGAAGTGAAATGAAGTGAAATGAAGTGAAATGAAGTGAAATGAGGTGAAATGAAGTGAAATGAGGTGAAAGGAAGTGAAATGAAGTGAAATGAACTGAAATGAAGTGAAATGAAGTAAAATGAGGTGCAATGAAGTGAAAGGAAGTGAAATGAAGTGAAAGGAAGTGAAATGAAGTGAAAGGAAGTGAAATGAAGTAAAATGAAGTGAAATGAAGTGAAATGAAGTGAAATGAGGTGCAATGAAGTGAAAGGAAGTGAAATGAAGTGAAATGAAGTGAAAGGAAGTGAAATGAAGTGAAATGAAGTAAAATGAAGTGAAATGAAGTGAAATGAAGTGAAATGAAGTAAAATGAAGTGAAATGAAGTGAAATGAAGTGAAGTAAAGTGAAATGAAGTGAAATGAAGTGAAATGAAGTGAAATGAAGTGAAATGAAGTGAAATGAAGTGAAATGAAGTGAAATGAAGTGAAATGAAGTGAAATGAAGTGAAATGAAGTGAAATGAAGTGAAATGAAGTGAAATGAAGTGAAATGAGGTGAAATGAAGTGAAATGAAGTGAAATGAAGTGAAATGAAGTGAAATGAAGTGAAATGAAGTGAAATGAAATGAAATGAAGGGATGCAAAGGCTCCAAACACAGACAAAAACATGTTGCAACCATTCGAAGAGCCAAGCTGCACTGGATATATTCGAGTCACCCTGGCAAAACAGGTGATCCCATGCTCGGGCTTTGTCACAGCATGTAGCCCAATCACAGAACAGCACCTGGTAGCATCTCCAAGTTGGCCAAAGTCATTTCGCCCACATGCGAATACAACCTTGGTGGCTTTGGCCGGTGATGGCTGAGAACCTCAGGCTCTGTCGCCAGCTTTACTATTACAAAGGCACCGGCGCTATCGTTCCGCAAGAACAGGCTATGCCTCACTTGCAACTCAGTCTTTCACAATTATCTGAATATGCCAGGAAGACATCGCTGAACGTCGAAAGTTGATGAAAGTTGCAACCAGACGAGAATCTTAGACCCTGACCACTCTCCAGCTGAAGCTTGAGAAGCATCTCTGAAGACCTTGCCAGGACGAATTCATTGCCAGGTTCTGCGACCAAACAGTGAAGGCTCAACGTGTCACCCGGCGGCGCAGGGCGCCTTTGTTGGAGTGACTCGATGAGCGACAGAACCATCTCCCAGTTGGCCAAAGTCATTTCTTCCAGTCCCCCAGACCTCAGTTGACCGCATTTCTGTGATCATTGGCAACCAGGTCCCTGATGGTCCCTATATCCTCTGTTCACCAGCAGTCGCATTGCAGTATCTCAGTCTGCCTATTCCAGTCTGCTTCCAAGGTAGGATCTGCGTGTGCATAATTGCACTGTTAGTTTTCAACGATATGAGTGCGCTCTCCGCGGCTGGACATCTAATTGTACAACAGCTTACTGCAAGTGATTGAAGCTTTTTACTTTCCCAGATTCTTGCATAGTCTTGCGACATATTTTCAGAGCCGCACAGAATTGTCATACCGAAGTTCAAAGGAATGCCTGCAAATTGGGTCTATCAATATCTATCAATCGTGTATCGTGGTGCCCTCTGCAAAAATTCTGCAGGTGTCAGCACATGTCAATTCTCTGCAAGCCAGGCCTGTAGCCTCCATCACCCTGCACCTGTGCAGGTTCGCTGTCTCTAACGCCAGGCTTTGGTAAATGCAAGCCCGGCCTCAGGTGGAACGTACTCAACGTAGCTTTTGGTCAGGACCTCAGAGTTCAACAACCCAATCCCGAGGAATCCCCATGAATCACTGTTGCGGAGCAAGACAGTGTGCAAGTAAGGCAGGAGCAAAAAGGTCTAGCCTGCATCATCTAGACGACAAATACGATTCAAGTGGGCAACAGGCTAGCGATGCTACCAGATACAGCAAATTCTTGGGCACCAAATGGAACAGAAGCTGGAATGCTTGCACTGAAAAAAGGTCCAAGAGTCCCACCAAAGCAGCAGCCACATGGTCCTTTCAAGACGTGAAAGGAACAGCCGTCGACAATCATTCACAGCATTTTGAAGAGCTGACACTAAGCCTGAGCAGTGCTCAAGTTGCTTCATTGAGTTCACACTAAGCTTCTGACCTGCTTGCAGCAAGATTGATTCCAAAGCCAAACAAGTCGCATCCCATCAGCAGTTCCTTCTGTATTATGCTTGGATTGTTCAGGTGCGGCACATTCCGGATTCCATTCTTAGTTTTCGAGGTAAAGCAAGCAATGGGGTCGAAGCGCGCACTGCACAGGAGGCGGTATTTTGGTGGATTTGGCGTGGTGTGTTAATTTGCTTTCCCAACTTGAACCATGAAATAGCAGAGAACTTCAAAAGATGCAAACAGAAGACGGCCGCTGCTAAACATGCCAAACCGGACCACGAAGGAATTGCTTGCGAGGCTCAAAGGATATTTGAGCCTATCTGTCAGCACCTTCTGGGTCTCTTCCTTTGCGCCAATGGATGATACCACTGGCAAGTTACAAAAACTCGTCTCTCACCCATGGATTATCAAGTCAAGCCGCTACAGCTGAGATGGTCGTCTCCATCGTAAGCTTGTACACGGCTCCATCTGCACCTACCAATGGAGTTTTCGGATGCTCTCGGAATTGTTGCATGAAGTATTGGATTGGATGATGTGGATGGATCCACAAAGTGCAGTCTATGAGTCTATGAATATATATATATATATGAATATTATGAATAGATTATACTGTATATTAGATTCCAAAAGTGTTGAAGATCTGAAGTGGCACCGAAGCCCTGCGGGTGCCTGTGGCTCCATCACTGACACATTTTCGCGGCAACGCTCGGCAAGCAACGCACCTGGGTACTTCTGACCACCACGCGTTGTCAGTTGCCTTCACTCGTCATATACATGTTTGATCAGGTTTTCATGGTTGCTCCCCAACATTGTTTTTTGAGTGTGCAAATTGCATGGGATACCCAGAGATTGAGAACAAGGGTCTTTGCAACATGAAACAACCACTTTTTCGTCTGCTTCACCAAACAGGCTACTCCACTGGTCTCGCGCTAATTACTGTAGTCATCCTGGAGTAGATAGAACTTGGTTTCAATATTTTTCCCATATTAGTGATGATCTTTTGAAATGTCCATATTATATCTACTTCAGGGTGACTATAGTCTTAAGAAAGGTCTTCGGAACTTGTTCATGTAAGCACCATAGTGTGAACCCCACTTGAAGAAACCCTGAAATTGCTGTCATCCTACTGTACCAGTAATGGGCGTTCTAAATTGTTCTTTAAACTGGTCAAACTTTCTGGTTTCAGACTGGAGAGGCCACCCAAAGCTTCGACTAAGGCAGAGACTGCTCGTGAGGTTCAAATCCCACACCCAAGGATGCCTTGCGGAAGTCCGGTGAAATCTCCAAAAACCTGTCAGATCTGTCAGGTTTCAAGTGACTGCTCCAGGTTTCGTGTGCACAATGTTCATCAAAGTCATCAAAGTGCTTCGTATGCTTCTAATTTGGGAAGGCATGATGGTTGCACGAAGTTCTGCTCGAAAAAACTCACCTGGTCAGCGCTTGCCGAAGCTGCTCAAAGTCATATGCCACCATGCTCGCCAGCTGATCAGCCTAAATCTGAATCAGAAGGAAAGCACGTTGTCCCAACATGGTGGACTTGTCATTGCAGCCTGTCCCTGAGGCTACAGCTTGCTTTGCCAACAAGACCAAGACCTGCAGTTTGATGCAAAGTCTCTGCTTTTGCACCGGTGTGGTGTTGCACCAAGCACCAAAGTTGGCACCTCGCCTGCTCTATAGTTCGAGCGTCCGCTTTGGTGTCATTTTCGGAGATTTCAGCCTTTCCATGTTTGTTTCAGCCGATGACTCCATATCTCTGTGTTTGGAGTCCCAAGATATCCCAAGAGCAGAAAATCCCCAGGAAATCTTTCCATTGGCCTTTCGCTTCAAGGATTCATCGTGCCGATGAAGCCAGCTTCGAAAATCCGCGCAGAAGTCGTGCACCTGCAGACATCGCCACCACGGCCCTGCAGAGTCATTCAGAATATCTGGTTTCAGACTCCTGGTTGAACCGTGCCATTAGAGTGTAAGAAAACTTGTGTGTGTTCTATTGAACACACACAATGTTACATTACTATTATAAATATATATATATTAATGGTATTTACAGGGCTTTGGCTTCTGATGGCAGTTCGATAGGCAAGAGCATGCCAGACACTCTTTTGGCACCACTCTTGACACATCACATGGATATCGGACTGGTTTGGGCATCTTCGCCGTGAGCTGAAAAGTGACATTGCACATATGACTTGAATCGAGAAGAGCTTTTGCTTCAGTGAAGCCGTCTGAGCTTCTAATGGTTTCAGGAGATGGCAATCGGGCTGCCACTTCTGCTGGCAGCTGAAGTTCTTCCAGGCTATGTCGGCTGTGCTTGTTGGGAATCGTCACATACCCGTTTAACAATCCCACCACGCTATTGGCGCTGTAAGCCCCAGTTTCCTCTGAAGAGCTCATTTTCCAGCAACCCATTTCATCAGGCCCAGGGAACAGTTTTGAGTTCACAATCAGTATTTGGCGCTTCTTTGTGTCAACAAACAAATCGAATTGCTTGTGAATTGGGAGCCATCTCGATTTCTCTGAATGCAGAGCCGAAACCAGCTGCGCTATTGAAGGCTTGGACAGCATGGAGCAGCCCATGGCATGGAAAATTCCAACGAATGCCTCCTCCCAGAAGGCCTCCAGCAGCGGAAATTCGTCAAAAGGAACAATTGCACCGTGAGGATAGATATCGACTTTTCGCCACAGCGGAGTCAAAATCTGTTGGTCGATAATCTCCTTCCAATCTTTTGCAGACTGGCCCACTCTTGCAATATTCTGTATTGTCCTTCTGCCAAACGCATCTTCAAGAGTGGGGATCACGCTGCCATGTAAAACAGCCCTTCGTCCGGATGGTGCGTCAATGTTCTTCAAATATGGGATCTCATGCGCATGGGCAAAAGCATAAATCGTTCTCTTTGGCAAACTAAAAAACGGACGCCAAATGCGCACACGCTCAATGAATGCTTCTGGGCCCATGACTGGAATGTGGAATAGGCTACGCCCCATAAACAGATTTGATAGAACGTTCTCAGCCGCATCATCTACATGATGCCCCGTCAGTACAGCCATGGCTCTGTTTTGCATCACTTTTTCATAGGCTTCATATCTCGCACGCCTAGAGAAGTCTTCGAAAGCCGTGCGGGAGAGATTTAGCGATTCAGTGCTGTTTAACCGAACCATTGTCAAGGGAAGTGCTACTTTCCTCGCCCAAGTCTCAACAAAAGCAGCTTCCGCTTGACTGCTGGGTCGAATATTATAGTCAATGTGCACGGCACTCAAGTTCAACCCCCACTGATTTCTCAAGATGATCATACAGTGGCTCAACACCATGGAATCAACTCCTCCGGAAATTGATATCACCAACGAAGTTCCTGCAGGACTTCCTGGTTTGCATCTTTCTTTCAGGAAGCTCCAAACATGGCTCAGCACGGATGGAGGCGATGCCTCACCTCGGATCGGGTCCGCAAGCACTGCAGCGAATTGCTCAAAAAGGATGTCTGTTCGCTTCGGAAGTGCAGTGCTCAAACCTTCCAGATCTTCCTTCGTTTTCTGGGTCACTCCTTTCGTTGAAAGACTGCGCCCATGAGCTTTCTGACGCGGTCTCATCCTACGAAGCACTCGGAATGAAAATTGCTGTGATATACACGATGATTACAATCACGATTATACTCTCATACTCTAGGCATGCCGCTTGCTTGATTGACCCCTCTCTGTCAATTGAGTCACAAACATGGAAACAAGTAATCAGTTGCGCAATTTCAGCGCTTTAAAGAAGTCCAAAGTCCAAAGTCTGCCTGAAATCCGGTTGCAAAGCATCAGTCCTGCTTCTCTGCAAACGCCCAACGGAAGTAAAGCCCTTGCCGCGATACGGGGGCAGAATCAAATATAAAGATCGAAGATGTCCGCAACCTGCGAAGACCATGAAGCTGATCCAAATAGATCGTATCTGCATGAGAAAAAGTTCAATGTCGACGCTGTTTTGCTATCTCGAAATCCAAGCCAGGGGTGTGGATCCTGATCTCATGAAGGTTGACAGGCGACACGGTGGCATCTGCGATCGAAGGGAAGAAGTTCAAATTTAAGCTTGGGATGTCTTGGGATAACTGAACTGTTTGGCTGCACAGGGTGCAAGTTGCTTGTTGTTGCCTCGAATCTTGCGTCGTGCAATTGCTGCAAGGCTGAACAGTGCTTTCAACTTCCCTGAATCTCATCCCAATTCCCAGGAGTCTGTGCTCATTAGCTCTGCTAAGCAAATCTTTCCTCTCCAATCCTCTGCTGCGAGTCGGCATTCTCAAATGAGCAAGTCGACATGTACCTTCAGACACGGCGATTGCTCATAGACAGGTGCGGCCTCAAACTGCAATGGTTTGCCTTTCTCCCCTTACTGCCAAACATCACCCCACGATGTATTTTAAAAAAAAACAGATCGAACTCTTGCGGTTTCACCCATTTTGACTTCTCTGGCCATTGACGCTTGTCCTGCCTTCCCCGCGTGCATAAGTTGCGACATGTGACATGTTCCGAAGTTTGACTACAAGCCGACAAGCAATAATTCTAGTGCATGGCCTCAGACAAAACCTGAACTGCTACCTGGTATCTCCCTCTCAGTGCAGTGTTTACTTCGCCGATCAGAAAATGAACGAAACTTTTGTTGACCGCAATTACCTTCACAAATCAAGGGATATCAAGGGCACGCAGCCGTGGGAGGAATAGGTGTGATGAAGTCCACCAGCCTCACAGATTCACAGCTTGAGTACAGCACGTAGGTGTTTCAATGCCTTATGATATTTATGTAAGGTCCATGGTGGTGTCGTATGTCATACCCTGTCATGTCATGGTGTCAGGTTATGATTTCCCCATGGTATTATAACGGTCCCATGGCATTGGAAGCTCCCACCTCTGCAGCCATTATGCTGAAGGCGCTGGAAGAGACGACTGCTGCAGTCGCTCTGGAGATTGCAAGGAAGTCGACCTTTAAACCCATCGATGGATGACATGGAAAATGATGGAAAATGCTGATAGTTCAAAAAAGAAGAATAAAACTACTAGAAACAGTTGATGATGCTGGCAGATCTATGCACACGGTGTGCAATCTATTTCTGCAATGCAGCAAACAATGATGCAAAATGTGCGTGGCTTGGATGATGGTCTTGTTTCCCTAGTTTCATTTCTTGCAGCAAAAGCATCGCAAGCGGAGTGTGTTCAAGATTTATTATGTACCCTCTGGTAATTTAACATAACTATGGAAAATCACTATTTTTAATGGGAAAATCCACTATAAATGGCCATTTTCAATAGCTATGTTGTTTTTGTGCAGCTGTCTTGTTGCCAAGGAGGCCGCCCATGCATCCGCAACTCTGCTGAGAGATGCTGCGGCAGGCAAAACCTGCCTTGGCGCCCAATGCAGCGAATGGCAACACATCGGCAAAGTCAAGAAGACATCATAAGACTGTGGTGACTTTGGACTTGATGATTCACAATCACAATATATCACAATACGCGCATGAAGATGATGAAGCAGTGAACGACCTGAGTCTTCAGCAGAGGTGATTGGTTCACATGAACCTTCCAGGTCAGTGGCATAAAAACTGCTTTCTGCACTCACCAGAAAATGTGAAAATTTTGCAGGAAGGGGTCAGGCCATGATTCCAACTGGTATACGTTGAATCTCTTGTCTACCGATAGCCGAGGTCAAAATCCTTGTCAATCCAGGGTAGCCCGGGTTGTGCCTGGGATGAACCGCATGGGGGCACCAAACTCTCGGCAGCAAGATGGGCCCGCCTGCAAGACTGAGGGAATGCCCAACAGATCGCAATAGATTAAAATAGATCAAAAGAATGCATAGAACTGGAAACTGGAAATATCTGGAAAGCTTACCTGCCAAGTTGTGAAGTTGGCTGATGTCTCTCACGTCCTGCACCCCTTCAGGGTGTCAAACTGCAAACTCTTGGAAAAAATGCATGTGTCAGTCAGCACTCTGCCTCTGCTGATCTGGCAAGACCAACTTGCCCGCCTTGTACCAATTCTGAACCTAAAACGGCCAGAAAGATCTGCAGAGATCTGGACTGCTTGACTGGATCTGGCCTGAGGAAGCCTCTCCACTGCAGCATTGTCCGATGCAAGATACCACCTGCCCCAGTCTCCGGCTGCCCGGAAAGTTGGAGCTGACGATGGAACATGATGGAACATGATGGAACATGATGGAACTGGATTCTACGAGACTTGACAGCCACAAGGATTGCACCTTGTAGCTGGTGGAAGTTTCAAGGAGCGCTCCACTGCGTGCGCGCAGGTTAGAACACGAAGCAGTTCCGTCTTGTCGTTTGAGCGCACATCCGCCTGTCATGTTGCACCAATCTTGGATCAGGTCTGGACCTAAGTTTGAACACGGCAAACACGGCATTCGGGAAATTTTAATCAATTGGAACTTTCCGGCCTCCCCGTTCACCATTCCAAAGCCAGCGGGGATGTCGCCAGATCTGTGGTGCAAAGCTATGAAGCCTCACAGATTTGCACATCTCCGCTTGCACCCCCTCTGGCTGTGAATGGACTGTATGTCATCGGATTTTTCAAACTGGACAACCTGTCAGGCCATGTATGTGTCTGCAATGGATAGTCTAAGCAGGGGCGCATATGTCCAATGTTGCACATTTATCACATTTGTATATATTATAGATTCATAATATGACAAGGTGGTACTATATCACAAAGTTGCGTGTGTGTGTGTGTCCCTCTCTCTCTGTATGTATAAGTATGCATGTATGTCCTGTATGTATACTTTAAAGGAAGATTTGAAGGACATCATGATTTTGAATGGTCTTTATTATCAATTTATCAAACAAAGGACTTCCCCGGTCGGGTTCCCCTCAACCAATTCTGCGAATGCGTGGTATGTATTGCATATGATATATGAGTGGCGGACAAAATTGCAAACTTGGACATCCCAAGTCCACTCCTTACTACTTTAGTCGTCCGCATAATATATGCGCATATCTCACTGTCTAATCGCACATTCTTCGATTTGCCCCTCTGCCAGTAGACCACCCTCACAGCAATCCGTCGTCCTCTGCCTTCTCCAAGCCGAAGTCGCAGTTTTCCCCAGTGTCTCTCCAGGGCATCTGTTGGTCGGAAAAGTATCGACCAAACCTAGCATACAGCAGAATACAGCAGACAGATGCAGACAGCACAGCATAATTGGGCATACACGTATCTCACCACAACCCATCAACTGAAGGCAAGGACAAAGTATTCCCTGGTCGACTGGCCTGTTTGGTGAGGTACGGCATGTTCAGAAGTTGCATTATTTCTGCACGTTCAGATAGCACTGGATGCCGCAAGATCGGCCTTGGGAAGGTTGGACAAGGAGACTCAGGAGTTCGGAAGACATGTTGGTTTTCTCTGTAATTAGTGTAATTAAGCTTCTGACCCGAGCAACGATTTCTTGTTTGTGTAGATCACCCACACTGGCTCCTCTTCGGACAGCAGTTGATTCAAATAGGTGTCCTGCAAGAGCAATTTAAGAAAGTTGGATGTCTAAGGACCAATGCCAATGCTCTGGAGTTGAAAACAATCCTCGAAATGGTCGTGGTCCCACAACACATGCCTCGGAAGTCAAGCATTGAGCATGGTGATACCAGAAAATGCAGGCGTATGCAGGAGCTTGGAACGATCACACTTGGTTCCTGTGGCCCCCCACCTTCCACCTGCTGTGCCAGCTAGTCCCGCCTCAGACTGCGACAAAATCAAGGACTCTTCTTGGAACAGGAGCAGGAAGAAAGCAAGTCTCTGGCCAGACGCCAATCCAGAAGATTGGGCCTGAGTGAACCAGATAAGGCTTGGATAGGCTCGGGCTGTCTTAAGTGACAAGATGTGACAAGCTCAAAACGCTGCTTGCCATCACTTCCAAGGGCAAGACTCCAGAAAGACCTTCAAATCCCACGGATCAGGCGCATCCTCGAGGTATCTTCGTATGATTCTTTTAACATCTTTTGACGACGCTGGCGACAGATCTGTTGTTCACTCACGCTAGAGCTCCAGAAAGAAGAGACGACCAGTGAGGACGGCCAAAATGAAGGCAGCGACAATGCCCTCAGCATGCGCGATTGCTGTGGAACATCGCTTCGGACTTCAGTTGGGGACGTACCGTATAGATTTAGAACATATTAGAAGTAGGATGAAGTAGGTGTGTTCTGACATGTGGAGTTGTGAAATCGCGTCCTACAGTTCGCCTTCAAACGATCTCCGTGTCCACCGCATGGAAAGGACGGTTGACAGGCCCAGACCTTGGCGTAGCAGAGATCCCTCGGGTAACAGGATCACTTTGGAACCGCGTTCCAAAGCAATGCATTTCGGTTCCAAAGCGATGTTTTTCTGCGCGTTCCAAAGCGAGGACCTGTCCCTCGACCAACATCCCCACGTGCACACTTCCTACGTGTGATGCTCCTTAGTTCTTGGCCAAAGCTCTTGCATTACTTCGGCCTTCCTAAGCAAGAGCTGAAGCTAGCAAGGTATCATCCTATCACCTTGTCCAGCTTTTCAGTGCATTTGCAGCTTGCAGGTGCTTATTTTTGAGGCCCCAACCTTCCGGAGTTGTTCCTTACAAGGAGTACATAAATGGTGCTAAAGTCTCTGAACACTAGCACATTCCGGGGTGAGAACTAAGGTCTTTGAGTGCCACCAAAGGTAGCTGCTGAAAGGTTGTGCAGTAGGTTTGGCCTCACAAATGGAAACTGCATCTGGCCAATAGATTCAGATGGGATGACGTGACGCAGCACGAAAGTCCAACAAAATATAACAAAATAGAAATTGACCAGGCAGCCGTATGATATTCTGCTGTGATATATCCATCCCTTTTGTGGGACGTTTGCAAACAGGCCTCCCGGGTTACGTTCTATTTTGTTTCAACTTTCCACTATGTGCCAAGAAAATGGATTAATATGGGTTAATAACCTCCAACATGTTCGCAAACAATCGCAAAGCTCTTGGCAGTGAACTTTCTCTAACACCCCCGCAACCACACTCTGCACCATGCAGTCAAAATGAATGGTGCCTTCGGCATCCAGACAGTGAATCTGTGCATATGGTGCTGGCAAGTCTTGAGCCACACTGAAGTGGTCTAGTACACGAGGGATGTATAGACATTCCTCGCGTAGAAGTGGGCTGGAGTCCACCTCGCAAAAAAAGATATCAGGTGCAACTGAGCTCTGACATTCTTTGCCTTTCAAGGCCAAGTCTACTCAGTCTCTGCTAGGAACCATGAGCGAGATGCATTGATAAACTGGAAGACTTCCTTGGCATGTTCATCGGAGCTCTTGTCCGGATGGTATTCCAACATCATCTCCCGCAGGGCTTTCTTTCTTTCAGCCATCGGTTTGTCCATCAAGTCCCTGAGCTTCCTCTCAACCGCCAGCTTCTTCGCTTTCACTTCGGCGGCATCCCCACTGAAGTCAGCGGCAGAAGGTGCCTTCGCAGTTGGCGTTTGGGGTTTCGAGCCAGGTTTTGACTGGGAGGATTGGGACTGACTGGTTGAATTGGTTGAATCTCGAGGATTCTCCTTTCCACCAGAACCTAGGTTGCTGTAAGTGCTGTAAGAGCGTTTGCTGAAGCTCTTGCTCTGAAATTCACCCAAGGTAGGTCTTGGTCCACTTGGTGTGGCCGGTTTATTGATAGCAGGACCGTGTGAACTGGACCTGTCCAGAGTTGCAGATGCAGAACCTGCACCGGAAAGGCCTTTTCTGGCGACTGAGGACTTGACAAAGGCCCCCTGCCATTGAGCTTGAGGACTTTGTTGTGACCGAACCTTGTGCGCCCAATTTCGGCCACTGGCATCGTTGGAATTGTCCGCATCTAACTGGTTTCCAAAACTCCATGTGGAAGCAAAAGTGCCCGAGCCATCCAATTCAAGATCGTCCTTCTCGAAGGCAAAGCCTGGTGCCATGGTCGGTCGGACGCTGGACTTTTTCATCGTTTTCAGCTTGCAAAATCGCCATATGATCAGTCCACCGAGACAGACCACAAACGCAGCCCCACCTGACCAAATGGCAATACAAACGTGCCCTAAATATCCCTTCGTAGCATAGCAACTAAGTAACTATTAGCAACTCATCATACTGGTAATGCTGCTTGATCCAGTGATAAGAAGTGAGCGTGTCTAATTTTAACACTCCTACAACTCAATGTATCCAGCATCGAACTCAGACTGTAAAGTGATTGGAATTAATTCCTAGACTCCAGACCTGCACCAGGGGTTGAGAATGGGTCAAGGGCACTCATGGGGCTGCGAGTTTTTGCTAATCCCTGCACCTGCCATCATCAAAGGCATGTATTCTTCGAAGCTTTGTACAGTTCCATTTTCGAGCAATTCTGTATGTCGGGTTCGGAACGTGTAAAAACCTGCAGGAATGCCTGGAAAGACATTGCCAGCTTCGTCAGAAAGGGCCCGGTTGGGCAAATCCACGGAGTACTGTTCATTTCCCTTGGTAAACTGAGACAAGTCCACGGAGACGTCACGTCCACTGATGGCCACATTGGGCGATGACATCTTGAACTCGGCAATTGCCGCACCCGCATTTCCGGTGGAGTCTCCTTGGCCGGATCCTTCGTAGAGAATGATCACTTGGCTTCCTGAAAGCAGAACCACATCCTCATCGAAGGTGAAAGTCACCATCCCACCTTCCTCTACATCACTTTGACCATTGGCTGGACTAAAGTAGATCACATTCGGCTGGAGTGTATCTCCCAGTTTGAAGCTGTAGAGATCTTTCTCCAAACCTATGAATGGAACATCAGCATTGTCCACCACGACTCCATATCCAATCTGCAAAGTGCATTGTCGCGTTGTCTTGAACTGTGCTTCGAGTAACTTTGCAATGCTGATACGGATGCCTGTTCTTGACGGACTTGGCTCAATGTGCTCCCATGGAACGTAAAACGGCAATGGCTGGCCAGTGCAGGTGAAGGAAACACTTCCTGTCTGCCTGATTGTGACGGTGCGGTCAAAGTCCAGCTGCAATTGCTGATGATCGGGCATTGTCAACTGCACACCTGATGCTGGCACAAACGACACAATCTCCGGTGGCTGACAATGTGATTGTGTTGCACAAGCACTGCACTTTGTTGTGCCAGCTCCCTCCAAACAAGTGCCTAACTGTGATTCCCAGTGACACTGGAGGTGTGACCGTGCACAAAGACAGGCAGATCTCAATCCACCGCAGGTCAGAGCCTGGCATACCTGCTGTGCATCACAGGCGCTGCAGGGAACACCACCGTCGCCACGCTGACACTGGGCCACGTCATTCACTTTCACCCACTCACATTCAGGGAGACCAGCACAAGTGCATGGCGCAGTTATCGTAATACATTCTCGGGGATTTCCGTTGTTTTCGGTTGTAGTGATGCGGGGGATGTAAGGCAGCGGCTCAGGGGTTGAAGTCCAGGTTTCAAAAAGGATTGGACGCCTGACCGTCTCCACGCTGACTGTTGGAAGTGGCATAATCAGGAGCCAATAGGGGTTCACTTGCACCTGACCAGCACCATGGTTTGCGCAGTTTGTGCATGTTTCTTCTGTATCGTGTCACAAAAGGCTGAACGCCGTACAGTCCCATGTCCAATATGAGAAAAAATGTTCAATCAAAATATTTAAAGCTTCAAGACCCAACTTGGTGTTGTGAGACATTATGATGTTTGGACTTTGGCATGACTTATATAATAGGTTTTTAATGGTTTTGATATGTCTGATATGTCTGGCTCCCCTTTTGGTTGTGCTTGGCCTGCTCCATAGCCTGGCTTGACAAAACCAGCTCTTTGAACCTCGTCAGAATCGCAGACTCTGATGCCTTGCGAAGCATAAAACTAACGTCTTGAGTGCCACCTTTCGGGGGCAACACGGCAAATCCAAACTTGAAGGTCTGCAAACTCAGTTCAGCAGGATTTGGAATATCCTCGTCCACGACGGGACTGGAATAGTATCCAGGCAGTAGCACAACACTATACTCGCGAATTCGCAAAACACTCCAGATGGAGCGCTGCAACAGCAGTGCAGCTTCTCCAATCAAACTCATTGGGAAGTCAGCAATCAAACTAATTTCGCAGCGAACCACTTCTTCTTCGCTTTCTTCCCATTCTTGTTCTGGCTCTACAAATTCAAGCACCGACAGTTGTCGAAGAAATCGTAAGCTCATCTCTTTGTGAGCTCCCAGAGAAGTGCCATTGATGAGGCTTGGCCAGAAAAGCGACCCTGATTGGTTCGTAGAAAATCCGGAGACAAAGCCCTCTTGCGGGTCAACGTGTTCGAAGGCCGAGGTTCCGCATTGAGACACAATAAACACGATGCTGAATCTAGTCCAAAGAGAGAGGAGCGTAAGTCTTGGACTGGCCCCTCTAGTCTTGCTGGATGAACCAGACATTCCACTGTAGCTCTACCAACATCGGGCTTTGGCGAAAACACTTCTCATAAGCGCGTGGAAGTTTCAGCAGAGCCAGCTACAGCTGCAAAATGGAGCAAGTAGAACACGGATGAACACGTAACACGGAAACAAGTTCTTTGGCCTGGAAAGTCCATGAAAGTCCTGAGTCTGGGCAGCTGGGCCACTGCCTTTGCTGTTCAATTGGGGGTTACGAGCTACTGAGCGGATCTGAGCGGCTATTGTGTTTTCAGACCTCCAGGTGGCTACACTTCACAGTGCCTGCGCGTTGAAGCGCCACAATCCGTGCAACTCGTTCCCGCGGACCACTGCTTGGAACCTCGACATCTCGTGACATCTCGTGACATCTCGTGAGAGCCGGACCTTGGGCACGGCGGCCGCACTGCGGCTGAGGCTCAAGCGCATCAGCAATTTTCATCCTGCAGTTGGAAGCCGATGAACGGGAGACAAAATGCATCTGCACCTGTCAGCAAAAGTCACTGCAGTCAAAGAATATATAAGAATATATATAAGAATATATATAAGAATATATATAAGAATATATTATATATATATATAAGAATATCCAATAAACACCAATAAACTAGATACCAAATGGATGGAAAAAGTTCAATGCTTGATCACTACCAGTGCCGCAACTTGCGCAGTTCTTTGACGGACATTGATTCAGAAAATCCAAGTCAAGCGCATCTACGACACCACACCATTCAATGAAGGCTTGCCGCCGAAGATCAAGGCAGGCTGTCGCCTAGATCAGGGTCAGCTCGGAAAGCCTTCTGAGGAACCTGGATAAACCTTTAAAAACATGTCACCATCTAAACCAGCGAAACACTGGTGTAATCTAAGGCAAAAAAAGAACGCACAGTACATCGTTGGTGTAAACTGAGAGGGCCACATCGGTCCTTGCATCAAACGCCTCCTCCCCCCACTTGTCACGTCCTGAGCAAAGCTCAACGCTGCTTCCTCGGGATGAAAAAAATCGAGGCTGTCAAGGCCCAAGTTCCTGGCTCCATGATGGGATCTGCAAAGCTGAATCCTCTGTGGAGCAATGTTGTAGAAAAATGATGAAAAATGTATATATATATATACAGTATACATCAGTATACAGTATACAGATATATACAGATGTATACAGAGTATAGTATGATAGTATGGGTATATTATGGTATATTGGTATAGAATGGGTATAGTCAGACATAGTCAGTATGGGTATAGCGGTATAGTATTGATATAGATGATATAGTGCTGCATAGCCCCAATACCCAATGGATGATACAGCTGAGGCTATCACAGTTGATCCTGGACAACCACTTGGTAAGCGAAACCTGTCAGATGCAATTGGAATCAATTGGATCAGAATCAAAGTGCGTCACAACGTATGACTTTTTTAAAAAAAAATAGAGGTGCCGGCTCTGGTGTGCGATGTATCATCACTTGCCATCACTTGCCCCACTGGTTGTAAAGGAGGTTTCAATCAGACGAACAGAATAACACGACTTCTGCGGCACCAGCATCCAACATCCAAGGGGAGGCGATCACCTTCTAATGGCCTTGGCCGCAGGGTTTGGAAAATGCGATCCGTCAGCGGCGAGCCGCAGATTCTCTGAGTTCGCCGCTCAGGTGGAGCCGCTGTCGCCCTCTCGCATGGCTTCATCCTCCAGCAGCGCTTGGCACTCGCCTGTCATGTCACATGTCTCGCATTGTCACTGAAAATGTCGTTAAATGATGTTAAATGTCCAACATCTTCCAATCGTCCCAATGGGTCGTTGCAAACTGCCCTTGAGGGCCCAACACAATGCTGCTTAGCCAATGATGGGGCCTGGACACAACACTCTCTGGTGGGATCTGTCAGCACTGAAACATCTGAAAAAAGCCGGTTGGTCACTGAGTCATTGAAAACACCTGAAAACCGCTTTGCATTCCCCAAGCAGTTGGTCTGTGAAGCACAACCTATGCAAATGAAAAGGGGGTGCACTCTAATTTAGTCTAAGTAAACCATTGTACGCGATTGTACGCGTGTATCATGTATGTGTGTGTGTGTGTGCGCCATGTCCCTCAGATGTCAATTAGTTGTCTTCTCGCCAGGGACTGGCAATGTTGGGTTCAACACCGAATGTTGACCCGGAGTTGGGCAATGCCGGTCCGGTTGATAGTATCATCAAGACTGCTGGATTAAATGGATGGATAGAAATTGGATAGAAACGTTTCCACTTTGTGAAGGGGTCGGTGGCTCGCAGTGCTAAGGAATAGCTTTCGCTTCTGCAATGGGAGCACCACTCAAGACTGCACCAGCGATGTCTTCTGTTGCTACGATGTTGCATTTCAAAGCATTTCAGTCCTTAGGCAAAGCCCTGTGCATTTTTTCAGTGGCAGCAAACCCAAACAACCCGTAGGCAATGTTATCTGCTACTGCAATTTTCCTCCCATAAATTGATCTAGTTGACTCCAGGAAGAGAAAGGCCTGGCCTTTCATCAAGGCAGGGTCCTACTTAGAACAAGTTGAATCAAGGTGCTTTGAGCATCTTTGAGCCCTTTGCTGTTCCCTTGGCTGTTCCCTCGCTGAAATCTGCGATGTGTCCCTCCCGGTTCTCTGCCTTGTCCCACAAAGGTGAATCACGAGTGTGAAGACCAAAGGCAGGCCTGAAGACCTGCACTGAGGACGCGATCGAATTGATATGAATTGAGATGAACTGAGCACGCAAATCTGCGTATCTAAACATATCTAAACAGTCTAAACATATCTAAACATATCACATAGTCACATTGTATGATATTGTGCATAAAGCCTATTGCAGCCAAACATTAGGTTGCTGATGTCAAAATCTTGGCAAGAACAATCCGCCAGTACTAGTTGTCAAAGCTCTCTAGGACCCTGACAACCTTTGTCCGCAGGTCCTAGGAGGGTAAATTGATGTAAATTGATGTAAATTCTGAGTTTATTTGAAATTCAGAGGCAATTGCAGCTCTGCAACCCATCTTTTCAGGCGCCAACTTCATCCCGTTGCTCTGCAACTGTATTGAACAATGTTGTGAGTTGCGGCCTTAGATTCAAGACATCATGGAATCTTTGAAGCTTTGCAAACCTTGTGCTGGCATCCCCCCATCATTTATGGGCCCAACCCGTTCTTGATGAAGTACTCTTCCAGCCACAACACTTTGACCCCTGGCAGTGCTACAAAATCTCCATGGAGGGCGTGGTACCTTCTCTGACGTGCTTTTTTTGAAAACGTTTTGCCACACCTGCTGGAAGATGTTGTTCAACCTGAAGGCATCTGACCCAACTGAAAGATAGCTGTAAGATGCTGTAAGCAGTTCACAGAATTGAGCTGCCTCCTCGGCAAAATACATGGCTTGGGAGTAGCTGGTCTCGGCACTCAAGTCCAAGATCACCAAATCCTCGGTTCGTGGAAACTTGCGGGGGCGACTTGACCAAGACATATACAGTACACATCAGTACACTGTACACAAACCTCTGGACGGATTGGGCGAAGGACGGGCAAAGCTTGGGCCCCTAAGGACTGATTCACAACTTCTGCCAGTGCTTGCAAGATCAACGAGCCACTTGGACCTCAACACTGAAGTACACATCCATTTAGGGAGAAAATATTAGTGATCGATGGCATTCCGTGCTTGGCTCAGCACGTTCTTTCTTCAGCCGCTTGAGGACACCTTCATTCTCTAGGACCTTGTGCAGGTACAACCTGTACAGTAACTGTTTTGATTCATCTTGATTCGAAGATATTCAAAGTCTTTTCTTTCTGTGCAGCTCTGAGCCAACAGCCCTGGGCTGCAAGAAGTCCGCAGATACTTGGAGATGCCTTGGAATGCTGAAGCAAGGCCGTCAGGGAAGCCGAAAAATTCCCTCCCGCCTCCTTTCAATTGTTTGGTGTTTCTATGCACAAGTTGTCACTCAGGTGCCTGATGTGTAGCTCATCCGAGGCTGTCTTCTCCAATATCAGCTTGCCATCATCCAGCGTTGACAATGCATTCTCAAACCAAGATGTGTGAGTGGCCTTGGGCAATCTTGGGCGATTTGGGGCATCAAATCATCACCACCACCACCACCACCATCATCATCATCATCATCATCAGCATCAGCATCAGCATCAGTATCAGGGTGATGGATAAAGAGGAAAATAAACGCAGCAAGCAGCAAATATAGTTGTCGTATTGGAACAACTAAGCAACAACTGAGCATGATGCTAGTACCAAAGCACGCAGCTCCAGCAGCGCAGTGGCTGAAGCGGCCTCTCTCTCTCTCTCTCTCTCTCTCTTCCCATTGATTTTTACAGCGATTATCCTTGTCTCCTTTCAACAATTCATGATATGCAGTAACAACCTGTAACAATATGTGATTGCCCAATTGCCCTCTCTTTATCCTCTCTTTACCTTAGCTGCAAACACAGAAAAAACGCACCAAGAGAGCAGGCTCGGACTCCTGGTGGAGCAGCTATTCATTGTGTTTTCGTGCGAGGCGGAAAACTTGGGTATATAATATATAATGGTACATATATATAATGGTATATATATAATGGTATATATATAATTATATATATAGCAGCTGTAGCGTCACGAGATGTCACGAGATGTCACGAGATGTTGTGTCCTGAATGCGGTCTTCTGCTCCGATGTACTTTGAGAGTGATCTTGGTTCAAACATGATTCAAATCTGCATCGCTACTCTGGCCTGGACATTCAACTGAATGGGACTATCACTTCCTCTTGACTCTGAGCTCCATTCATTCCAGAAGAAACTGCTTGAAGAAGCTTGAATCCAGACAAATGCCTCAACATTTGGATGTGACCCACATACCAGGAGCACATGCTATTGTAGAGTATTCATGATTATTCACTATCCGCCCCCGCCTTTCAACTCTATCCTGAAGAGCATCCAGCACCAACTGAATCAGCTTCAGCCTGCTATCCAAGTCACAGAGACAAAGAGTGCAGCCTCCTACCGAGGCATTTGATCAAAACGTGCCCAGCCTTTCAGAGGCCAGAAATGCTGCCGAACTAACAGCTCTCGAAACGTTGTCAAGAGCCTAAGCAAACTAGTAACTAGTATCTATCTATATTCACTGGCATTCAAATTAGACAATCATTGTGATGCAGTTCATTCTGAGATGGTTGCGAAAGCGATAGTAGCCAGACGTCGTTTCTGTCCTTGCAAGTCTCAATGCTTGAAGACCGTGGAAACGTTTGAAAGAAAGGCTCCGAAGGGAACAGAAGTGTCCTCCCAAACAGCTTTCAGAGGCCACTTCAGCCCATGTCACAACAGCTTCAGCCTACAGATCAAGTTGATTCAGGCAAGTGAAGCCAATCTGACATACCAAATTCTGAGTCAAACACTCCCATCTTGCAAAGGCTCATTGTTTGCTTGGCTATAGCCTGAAGTCTGGAAGCTGCACATTAGAAAGCGACACGAGTAGTCGCAGGTGCAGGTCTGCAAAAAAGGCCCTGTCTGGTACACATCATGCGTTGGCTGAGGTACTGTGAACGAAGTCAGCAAGTCCACGACGTGAGGAGGCCAGTCCTCAGTCAGGTTTGGCATAGGCCGAGACAAACACAAATCAGCAGAAACCAGACAGAGCTGAGGCAACAACATCAGTGTTCTTCCACCATCTGGCAAAGTGAAAATATCTCATAAGGGCTTTGCAATGCCTTGTAAATCTCCCTCTCTGCACCAAATTTACACTGCCTTGGCGGCTCCAGTACCTGCCATTCAAGCTTCAGTCAGCAACCATCCAACAAGCATCGATAAGCTGCAGCAAAACATCTAAAACTCGCACCTCAGGGAGCTCCCTGCAACAAGCACTGGCATCTCGCGCCAAATCCACGGCCATTTGAACCTCCCGAGATTGGATTTCCCAAGCATTGGCTGGTTTAAATTGGTGAATATGCACATATGCGGCATGCGCATTTCCAATCAGATTGGATTTGCCCTGCCTTCAGCACACTGATCTGCTGTCCTGACCAAGTACATCCAAGCACCAAATCTGCCAAAGATGTTGCATCACTTCCCATGAAAAACATTGGTGGAATCATTGAAAAACATATTCAGTGATTCCACCTATTCTGTCACATCTGATCGCGCTCTCTTCCTGATTACTTCCTGCTTGTCAAATATTGTCCAATTGCCGGGGTTTTTCTGCATCACTGTCATCACAGGCCTGCGTCTCTACATTCGCGCAAAAGGTGCAGCAGCGGCCCCATGCCCAGTCCTACCACTTGCGTATTTAAAAGTTATATAATTAGAATACGTACATATATACATATATACCCGTTCAGGTTGGGCCCAAGGGGTTGGTGCAGAATGGTGTGCCCAAGGTGCACTTCTTACAAAATGAACCCAACGTTCACAGACGTAAGCTTGTATTACCCTTGAGGTATCCGATTCTGTAACAAAAACTTCAACGGGGATATATAATGATATATATATATATGTATAATATAATATAGTATAATATAATATAATATAGTATAATATAATATAATATATATATAGTATAGTATGGTATAGTATAGTATAGTATAATATAATGGAATATAATATAATATGTTATATTATATTATACTATATTATATTATATTATACTATATTATACTATATTATACTATATTATACTATATTATACTATATTATACTATATTATATTACATATTATATTAAACGTGTAATATTATATTATATTATATTATGTTATATTATACTATAGTATATTATACTATACTATATTATATTCAATATATTTATATATTATATTAAATTATATTATATTATATTACATTATATTTGATATATTATATTATATTATGTTATTATATTGCGTTATTTTATATATTAAATTATATTATATTATTTTATTTTATATTATATTATATTATTTGATTTTATATATTATATTATATCAAATTACATTATATATTATATTATATTATATTATATTATATTATATTATTTACTATAATATATATTATATATTATATATTAAATATTATATATTATATATTTTAGTAAATTATATTATATTATTATATTATATTATATTATATTATATATAATATATTATATATTATATATTATACATTATATATTATATATTATTATATTATATTATTATATTATATTATTATATTTGATTATATATATTATATTATATTATATATTATTATATTATATTATATTATATTATATTATATTAAATTATATTATATTAAATTAGTTCAAGTATGATATCATATTATATTATGATATATATTATATTTTATTTTATAAATTATACATTATATATTATTATATTATATATTTTATATTATGTATTATATATTATATATTATATATTATGTATCATGTATTATATATATTATATTAAATATTATATATCATATATTATATTATGATAATATATATTATATTATATATGTTCTTATATATAATATTAAAGATATATCATATATTATATATTATAAATTATATTTTATATATTATATATTAAAAATTATATATCATATATTATATATTATATAGTATATATCATATAAGATATATTGTATATTAAATATTATATATTATATATTATATATTATATAATATATATTATATATTATATATTATAGTATAGTATACAATATTATATTAAATAATATTACATTATATTATATTATACTATATTACATTATATTATGTTATACTATATCATATTATTTTATGTATTAAATAATATTATATTTTATTTTTTTATTATATATTATATTATTGTAAATATTATAATATATACTATATTATATTATATTATATTATAGTTTATTTTATTTTACTATATGATATTATATTATATTATATAGTGTATATATATATATTATCAGTATATATATATTATAATACTATATTATATTAAATTAAATTATACTATATTATATAATTATTCTCTATTATATTATATATATTATATACTATTTATAGATATTATATTATATATTATAGATGACCATGTTGCTGGTGGTGGCGTAACATGGCGGGATTATGGTGGTCTAGGGTGAATGCACTGGAGATGCTACTAAGGTTGATTATGCGGCTACCGCTAAACTGACATTGCCAGTGGAGGGAGCCTACAGGATAAGAAATGAAGGTATGATGAGGTATGATTGTCGCTAGCATTGCATCAAAGTCTTTGTGTCAAATCCCTCCTTTGGCAGCACCCATGCCGATCTGCAGTGCAGCATCTGCCGCGACCTTGCAGCTGCAAACTCGAGGGCCCCTTATGGGCCTTGCCAACAAATCCGCCACTAAGAACCAGGCCATCAGCATCAAGGCGGCAGACGCAGATGCCAGCCATGCCAACATAACAAAATGTCAAGATCGCCGGGATTTCCGACTGGCTTGGCTTTTCATGGCTTGTGCGTCCATTGCAACCATTGACTGAATAGAAACGTCAACCATTTCTCCAAATGTTTTCTTCGAAACATCTTTTGCCACAACACTCATTCCATATTCACACAAAGTCATCCAATGCAGATAGAGGCAAGGCACCTTCTCCCGGTCAGCGTCTGCAACAGCAGCGTCCAATTTGTCTTCCTTTTCCCAAGTAGTTTTCCAGTCTCTACCATTGATCAACTTGGCAGCTTATCTGTCCTGCAGTTTCTTGAGATGCAGCTTCATCTCTGCAAGGTCCCTTCTGACTGGGTCCAGAGAAAGTTCCTGGCAAGCCACGGCAAGCTACCATGAAAAAGTTGTCATCGTCGCTTGTCTGAGGCACGTCAGCGGTCCAGCAAAGACTATATCGCCGTTTAATCTAGGTGAATACACATTGTTTATCATTGTTTCATATTATGTCATGTATTGTCATTTCATGTTATTTCAATATATAACCATCACATCAACGTCAGATGACGAGGTGTCCTCTGACAGTCGCCGGTCAATCTCGTCCAGGCTTTCCTGGACTTCGTGCTTGGTGGCCTGGCACAGCATCTTTGTCAAATCTGAAACGTTTTTTTTTCAAAAGCTGCGCCTTCTCCTTCTCTGCGGTTTCAAGACCTTTCTCAACCTGACCCAAACTATGCAAAGGTGTGCCATCATGCCATCCCACTGAGAAACAAAGTAGCAAACTGAGTCTGCGGCAGCAAGCAAACGATATTGCAGGTTGCGAGCCTCTCTGTCAGTGCTTTGCAGGAGAGGACCCAGAAAAAGTCCAGACAGGGATCTAAAACTTCAATCTGGGGAAAGATGGAAAAAATGAGAGAAAAAAAGAATGAAAACGGTTGAAAAGGATTGAAAAGGATTGAAAGGGTCCCCTTTTGTCTCTGCCTGCTCTGCTGTAGCTTTCTCATGTCGAATCACAGCACCACGTGTGCCTTCCAGTTTCGCCTGGTGCGGTCGGAATCGCAGGCACAACTTATCAGGTCTCCAAGTCCAATTACTTCAACCTTTGACAAGAACATCCGTCTTTGTTCAAATTACACTTTAGGATCTTTAGGATGCGTTAGGCGGGTTGTGTACTAAAGCTACAGTACTCGCTCTCAGCTTTGTTGTGCAACTTGAGTGGTAGTGCCAGTCCAAACTTTTGTCTCATCAAACAGAGTCTGTTCTTTCCGTTTGGCAAATCAGCATAAATCAGCTCTAGCAGGAACTTCGCCTCTGCCGTTTCCAAATTCTCCGAGAGCCGCTTGAATTGAGTGTCCGTGTGATCTCGCTGCATCAAGTACCTTGCAGTGAGTCACATGCCAGGACTTTTTTTTGTCGGCAGGGACTCTGTTGCGCACCACCACGATCTCAATCTGGCGGTGACATGTGTTTTTGCCTCAGACGGGCTCCAGTCCTCTCTCTTCTTGCAAAACGGTAACATCACATCCTCTCAAAGGAACTAAATGGTACCCATGGTATCCTCCCTAATAAGACGTGATGGGAGGGATGATGGCTGAACAGTGGCTGAACACCATCTTCTGCCACAAAGCAACCCCACACAGTGTCGCGGTTTATTGCAGTGACAAAACACATCTGCGGAGCCCACACTATTGAGGGTATCAGGATGTCCCATTACAAAGAGCCCACTTGGAAAGAGAACATGTAAGCTGAGGGGACACACCCAGAGAGCACACATGGGGGCACACGTCCATGGCCTAAAAAAACCTTCGCACCACTCAATAACGAAAGATAAGTTTTGGTGTAGACATGTCCAGACGGTGTATACGATACAGCAACACACAACACCTCTGTGCTACACTGCACATTGCCACATTGTTTTTTCAGCGGCCCAGGAATGTGCATGTGCAGCTTGAGGGAAACGATTTGTGAAGAGTGAGCACGGGAGGTTTTGCTTTGCAGTTTGCAATGGACTTGACAAGAAAAGCACACTCTCAGCTGGCCACATAGATTTGCTTCACTCTAGCAAGAGCCTTTCTTGAAGGTGCAGCTGGTGTCAAATGATCTATTTCCAAGCAGTTTCTAGTGTTTCTGCTTGGCTCCTGCAGCCCGGCCTCCCGTGATTTGTTCTGGCGTCGAAGAAACTCCACCTTCTGCAATTGGATCGCAATTCGCAAGTGCGGAGTAAATTCAGCTGCAAACACCAAAGCACCGGGGCCACCAGGACTCCAGCCCAGCCATCCATGGTTTTGCGAAGCAATCTGGTTCTGTTGTACCTGGTGCTTCGAGGTGTGCCTCACCTCTTCATCTTGATTCATCTTGATCATCTTGCAACGGTGTCGTCTTTGACATATTTGGCTTGCAAATTGCTGGGCTTTCTCAGGCCAAAACATGCACTGACCGCCACTCCGCTAAAGCTCGGCATGACTGGATAATATTTGCTTGGTGCAGAAATACACTATGTTATACCATATATCCATAATTATCCATATATTTTATATATTCCTCAGCGGCTAGGGATATCTGGAGCTTAGTCGAGTACGGATCCCATCGAGCTGCAAATGCGGCCATCATTTCTCTCCTTTCTTGATCCCTTAGTTACAAGCAAGATACTGAGATATACTAAGGCTCCAGATTCAAACAGAGGTGATTACTGGTGATTGCTGGTGATTGCTCATTTCTGCAATTTAGATAAGTTGTGCATGCTGTGAAGTGTTGCAGGTGCTTCTACTCTCAAAGTGTGACAACTCTGAGAGCACCACTGGATTTGAAAGAACTTCTCGTGGACAAATTCCTGAAGCCTTCGCGAAAAGAATCTTGACATGTCTTGACAGTCTGATGCAGTTGCTGCTTTTCTCCCAGCCCACAATTGGATATTTAGTTGAATCAGGGGAACAATGGAGGACAAGCAAAAATTCAACGGCAAACCAAAATGCAGAAGACCTTGCACTCTCTTCTTGCATGTCCATGATTCGACGTTCGAGTTTCTTCAAACCAGCCTGGCCGCAGTCAAAACAATGTCAAAAGAAGAACCTTTCATCTGCTTCGTTGAAATTTTCTGGCTGCATCTCGCTACCCTCATTACACGACCTCCTTCGCACAGCTGTTGACTTCTTGCTTTATGACTTCCAAACCATCCCTCAGTACGACAAGTCGTGGACTGTGACATAGTATGACACGTGTGCTGGTCTGTTGTTGTGTCGTTTGTATTAAGATGGTATAGAGATGTATAGAGTGCAGTCGGCGCAGGGGTCCGTACTCCATGGTAGAACCATGAAGTTCTTGCTTTCCGATCTGCTTTTGCAACTGGCAGTGCAGCAACAAGGACCAGCACAACAACAGGACTCCTACGACAAAATGAAGCCGTGAAGCCATGTGAAGCCCTACAACATGCCAAAACCATGAATCCAAGGCTGCCTCTCGGATTGCATCGCCTGCACTACCGATTTGCTCTGCCTGTAGCGTTTGTGCTCAAGCTGGTCTACTTAGTCTACTTGGCTCTGGACTTTGAATTCTTTTGAACACAGCATCGCAGCGCCTTCTTCTCATTAGACTTAAAGTTATCCTCGCACCACAAGGATACGCTTTACGATTAAGGCAATCTTCTTTTGTAACAGTATTGCCACTGGAAGATTGTTTTAGATCAGAGAATGGTTGCACCAGCGGAGCTCTGACTTTGCGCAAGAAGAACTTGAGATAATTATGTATATGATTGTATATATGATATACAATGAAAACCTTTAGGATCTTCGGGTGCGGCTAAGGATACGTATGCATGCCCATCTGTTGACAATCTATCAAAATGTTCTAACTCAGGTTCCTCTTCGAAAATTCTGAACTCGTTCGCAAGCACCTCCGTCGAGTGGCTTAGGCGTGGCTGAATCAATTTGACATTTGGCCCAGCCTGCACTGCTTTAGCCATCCGCGTAACGTCTTCCCGAAAGACCTACACAGCAGGAACCCCTACCTTCGGATGTGAGGAGAACAGAAAGGGCTCCGCACATCAAGGCCTCCTTCGTAACAGAAAAGTCATTGCTGACCTGGAAACGTTGCCGGAAAGGAGATCCAGCAACCTTCTTATATAACAACATATGATAATATAATATAATATAATATAATATAACTATATATCCGCCGACCCCGGCCGACGCAAGGGGGAGCGCGTAAGGGAAGAAGATGGAAGAAAAGGACTTGCAGCAGCCAGCAGGCATACTTGCAGCAGCCAGCAGGCATGTGAGGCAGCAGCAGCAGCAGCAGCAGCATTGAGCAAGAGCAACAGCAACAGAACTAGCAACAGCAACAGCAGCAACAACAACAACAACAACAACAAGAACAAGAACAACAACAACCACAAAGACAAACATAAACCCAAACAACAACAAACAACAATAACAAACAACACCAAACAACAACAAAGAACAAGAAACAACAAGAAACAACAACCAACAACAACTAACCATGACCCTTTGCCGGGGGACTCTGTTGGGTCCCCCTCCCACCGGTCACGTACCTCGATTCCCTGACTCCGGGGTTTTTGTTTCACCGGTGGGGGGTCCTTCCCGGAGTCTCCTCGAAGTACGTGGGGCTCCTCGGGTTGCCTTTCCCGCCTGCCCTTTTTTTGGGTTCATGGTTGGTGGCTTCTTCGTCCTTCACTGCCATGGTGTTTCAGGCTGGCGGGTCTGGCGTTTTGGCGTGTCAGAAGCTGTAAGTTGAAAAGCAGCAAGAGGAAAAAGCAACCAAAATCATCATTTTCTATTGGTTTCAGAAGTTACGTTAGGCATTTTCGGGGTGTAGTTTTGGAGCTTCTCCGTCCTTCACTGCCATTGTGTTTTCCAATCCGGGGAACAGCAGCAGCAGTAGCAAAAGCTTCTGCAGCAGCAGGAAAAGGTAGCCAAAATTCATAGCAGCAGCAAGAGGAAAAAGTAGCCAAAATCATCATTTTCTATGGGTCTCAGAAGTTACGTTAGGCATTTTGGGGGCGCAATTTTGGGGCTTCTCCGTCCTTCAGAGGCATGGTGTTTTGCTGCCGGGAGGTGATTTTTTCCATCGTGTTTTCCCAGTTGGGGACCGGATGTAAAGGTGGCCAAAATTCATAGCAGCAGCAAGAGGAAAAAGGAGCCAAAAGCATCATTTTCTATCGGTTTCAGAAGTTACGTTAGGCATTTTCGGGGTGCAATTTTGGGGCTTCTCCGTCCTTCAGAGGCATGGTGTTTTGCTGCCGGGAGGTGATTTTTTCCATCGTGTTTTCCCATTTGGGGACCGGATGTAAAGGTGGCAAAAATTCATAGCAGCAGCAAGAGGAAAAAGGAGCCAAAAGTATCATTTTCTATCGGTTTCAGAAGTTACGTTAGGCATTTTCGAGGTGCAATTTTGGGGCTTCTCCGTCCTTCAGAGGCATAGTGTTTTGCTGCCGGGAGGTGATTTTTTCCATGGTGTTTTCCCATTTGGGAACCAGGTGTGTTCCCATTTGGGGAACGGATGTAAAAGGTAGCCAAAATTCATAGCAGCAGCAAGAGGAAAAAGAAGCTAAAAGCATCATTTTCTATCGGTTTCAGAAGTTACGTTAGGCATTTTCGAGGTGCAATTTTGGGGCTTCTCCGTCCTTCAGAGGCATGGTGTTTTGCTGCCGGGAGGTGATTTTTTCCATCGTGTTTTCCCATTTGGGGACCGGATGTAAAGGTGGCAAAAATTCATAGCAGCAGCAAGAGGAAAAAGGAGCCAAAAGTATCATTTTCTATCGGTTTCAGAAGTTACGTTAGGCATTTTCGAGGTGCAATTTTGGGGCTTCTCCGTCCTTCAGAGGCATAGTGTTTTGCTGCCGGGAGGTGATTTTTTCCATGGTGTTTTCCCATTTGGGAACCAGGTGTGTTCCCATTTGGGGAAGGGATGTAAAAGGTAGCCAAAATTCATAGCAGCAGCAAGAGGAAAAAGAAGCTAAAAGCATCATTTCTAATCGCGGTTTCAGAACGTTAGGTTAGGCATTTCGAGCTCCGGACAATCTTCTCTCTCGAACCATCTCCCCCTCCTCTCTCGACAATCGACAATGCTTTTTTCTAGGATTCAGACGAACGTTAGGGAGTTTTTACGGTGGTGTTGGACTGCTGCTCAGAGCCATGGTGTTTTTTTTTGCTGCCGCGAGCTGCTTTTTTCGAAGCTGTTTGTTAACCGGCATAGGCAGCAGCAAGCCGCGCCGCACAGTTCTCGGAGCAGCCGCAGGCAACAGAATCGTGAATCTGTCGAAAAATGCGGTGTTTCTAGAGTTTCCAGACGACACGTTGGGAGTTTTTGCGTGGTTTGGAGCCTTGCGTGGTCCGTCCGAGCCCATGGTGTTTTGCTGCCGGGAGCTGCTTTTTCGAAGCTGTTTTATCGGCATCAGCAGCAGCAGCCGCCGCCACCAGTTCTGCGAGCAGCCGCAGGCAACAGAATCTGTCGACAAATGCTGTTTTTCTAGATTTCCAGACGACACGTTAGGGAGTTTTTTCGCGTGGTTTTGGACCTTGCTCGTCCTTCCGAGCCATGGTGTTTTGTTGCCGGGAGCTGCTTTTACCAGTTCTGCGAGCAGCCGCAGGCAACGCAGGCAACAGAATCTTTCGACCTTGCTCGTCCTTCAGAGCCATGGTGTTTTGCTGCCGGGGGCTGCTTTTTTCGAAGCTGTTTTACCGGCATCAGCAGCAGCAACCGTCGCCACCAGTCCTGCGAGCAGCTGCAAGCGACAGAATCTTCTTCAAAGCCATTTTCTATCGGTTTCAGAAGTTACGTTAGGCATTTTCGAGGTGCAATTTTGGGGCTTCTCCGTCCTTCAGAGGCATAGTGTTTTGCTGCCGGGAGGTGATTTTTTCCATGGTGTTTTCCCATTTGGGAACCAGGTGTGTTCCCATTTGGGGAACGGATGTAAAAGGTAGCCAAAATTCATAGCAGC